GGCTAGTTTAATACACCAAGTGTCTAAAATACTTTTATAGTAATTGGTTTGATAAACTTTCCTCTATAGTACCTAGACGTTATAAATTTAAGCTCAGCACTAGATTGGCAGCTTCTCATTTCAAACTTGCAATTGTCTAGTTCTTCTATGTTAACAGTTTTATTTTATCGCACTTCTCACTTGTGGAAATCTCTTCCAGCTTAATCTATTTTCATATATAGTGGTTTCTTACCAATAACTTGAGTACCAGTTTTCTAAAGCTGAAAAAAAAGAAGTACCATAACCTATTAATGTCTCCCCGACATTAATTATAAAAATTAGAATTCGACATTAATTAATAGGTTTCTAAAAAAAATCTGGAAGTAATTAGTTTTTGTTTTTTTTTAAATGTTAATCATAGGTCTCTACATAAAACTCATTAATGAGTTATTTCATTTGCAGAATGATCAATTTAAGCGTAATTGGCAGCAAGCTCTCATCATTTTACAGCTGAAATGGCCAAGTTTCTTTTATCGCACTTCTTACTTGTTGAATTCTCTTCCGGCTTCCCATTCAACTCTGATCTTCAAAAATTTAAATAAAATGTCAATCATTATCTTCTTAATTCTTGTTCTTTTATTATCCTTTCCCCTTAATAGGTTTTCTCATATTCTCTAATACTTAGTAACTCCTTGCGTCTTAGTGTCATTATTGCTTTCTTTGAGGTGAAATGATTAAAAAAAAAATATGACATCAATAGAAGAAAAAGCAACGTGTCCGATGGTAAAATTAATATATTTCTGAAGTTCAAATGATAAAATTGATTGATTCGTTTTCTTTGGCTTATCAACACATTGCGGGTTATTTAAAGGCGGAAAATATTTTTAGATTGTAAAATTTTTTTATTTAAATAATAATGCTCACTGTTTAACCTATAGCTAGGAGAAGAGATGGATTAACACCTTTCCGAAGGGTATTTGCGCATAATATAATGAACTGTTATAGAGTGAACGAAAAAATTTTCTTTTCCCGTATGAGAAACGAATCCCTCGTCGCCAATATGTTGTAGAGTAGTTTTCAGTGGAGGCTTATATTTCAATAAGTCGTCCTAAATTAGGTTCGACGTACAAAACGTTAGGAACTTGAAATAAGAGTTAACGACCCAGCAATCTAGTTGTGATGGTTGATATTTCAATGTCCGACATCTACTGACACACTCAACACCACTGAGCCCCCTGGTGACTGCTACTACTACTACTTATTATATCTGGAAGAGTCTATTTACAATAGAATAGGTATGTTCCGGTATAACATGAACCCAACTGGAATTATAATCGGCTCTTCGATGAACAACTCCGATCCATTATTCATTACGCCACTTGCACATCCAAGCTTACAACAGCTGGTATTTCTAAGTGGTTAACCATCTGACCAGGTTTCAACGTCCTGAGATCGCAAGCCATTAAATTGATAAAGGATAATACCTCTCATCCCATTTTTGTGACTGTGGGCATCAATGTGTTAAGGTAGAAATAGTTAATTAGCTACCACTTAAATTTCAGTTCTCGAGCTTGAGAGAATTAGAAGTGATATTACAAGCACCCCTACATTGCACTAGAAGCATTATTTCTTCTTAGACTTATACAAATGTTACTTCCAGCATTTTTACCAAATTGTCTTTTTATCTTTTGATGTGACCTGCATTGTGGAGTTTGTTTTTTTTCTTTTAATCAAAAACAGGTTTACACGATCTGTTTAGTAAAATGAAGAAAGTTTTCTAAAGCTTAAAATACATCTTGTGGCAGACGAAGTAGTGAGTACAATTTAGAAATATCTCATGGCCATGGGCCAGGCTTGTTTTTGCCAAGCATTTTCATTTAAATACACTCATCGAATTTTTAAGGTTTACATTTGATAGCTGTTTACTGCTTCCAACAATTATAATGGAGAGCATTTCAAATATCTTTAGATGTTCTGTATTCATCAGCTTCGTAATGTATCACAATGTTCAAATGCATAACCAACATTTGCAAGTTCAGCTCAGTCACCTCCTCATAAGCCAATGTAATTACGAATGCTTCTTAAAGGTCACAGGAGCTGCAGAAATTGTAAACATACAATGGGAGCCTTCTCTGTCTTTCACCGACTGGCCAAATTACCTGCATTGAGTTCCAGCTCTTGTTCACACTGGTCAGCACAATTGTGAAAAGCCTGTCATATGTTCACAAGGAAATAAAAAAGTGAATCCAGTTTCCATTTATTTGGTCTTAGAGAACCAGTTCTACTTTCAATCAGTATGGCTGATGCTCCCCCCCCCACAGGGAGAGTGCTTTCAATCAGTATGGCTGATGCTCCCCATCCTGCAGGAGAGTGCTTTCCATCAGTATGGCTGATGCTAACCTCCAGGAGAGTGACTAATTGTGCTTCTTCCTTTCAGCTGTTTTCCACTGATTGAATGAAGTGTGTAGATTATAGTGAAGCAATTGCTAGATCTACTGCTAGGAAAGAGGGTTCAATATTTTGTGCTAGACAATTTTTCTTGTCGGACTCTATCTCACAGCATTTTAAGTCTACCATTCAACTGAACATTGAAGATTGCTGCCACATCTGGTCTGGTGCTTCTGCTACGTATCTAGAATTTCTTGACAAAATCCAACAAAGAATCTGTAATGTTACCAGTCCTGACCTGACATCACAACTTCAATCATTTTCCTACTACCATAATGTAGCTTTCTTGTGTCTTTGCTATAAATATTTTCATGGAAATTGTTGTGATGAACTCCCTTCTTTGGTAGCTAGATTTTATGAATTTAAGTGCAGTACTAGATTGGCAGTTAGGTCTCATCATTTTACAGTTGAAATATCTTAAACCATACATTCTAGGCTAACAGTTTCTTCTTTTGCACTTTTTGTTTGTGGAATTCTCTTGCAGTTTCTTGCTTTCCAGTTAACTTTGATCGTCAAAAACTTAAATGCAGTGTCAAACATAATCATCTTTCCTTGAATGTTTTATTGTCCTCAGATTCTTTCACTCTGAGAGATTCATTTGCCAAATCTGGAGAGGTGATACACTTAGGACATCTGCTATTTCTGCAATGACAGACTAATAGGCAAGAACTTCCCTTAAGCCAGCAAGGACTCTTTTTTTACTCCCACCCTCTGCCTATCTCTATATCATGTGTCGCTTGCAAATCCTTAAGAGAGGATCCAGAACTACTGACATGCTTTGGAACTACTTCCAAATTTGTGACTTTATATAACTCTTTCTAACTTCCAGCCCAAAAGTTTTCATTTATTTTATTCCTTCTTGGTCTAGAGGGTGACCACTTTAAAGATCTTTACAAAGTAAGACCTTAGTGCTGGCCATAAAAAAACAGACACTTCAAGACCATCCACTTCTATGTGGTTACCTTGATCCATTTGTGAAGGGGGGACCCATAGTGTCATAAAATACCTATTTTACAAGCTTGTGTTTCCTGCAAAAGAATTAAATTTGTTTTTGCAATTTAAAAAAAAAACAACAAAAAACACACACACACACACAGAGCAAGGCAAATACCAGTGAGGCAAATTTTATGTTTATTCTTTTAAATATTCAACATTTTTTTCTGTTGAAGTTTTCTTTTCCCTAATTAAAAAATAATAATAATAATAAAAAAAAAACATGAGAAGTAGAAATGAATGAATGTTGAAGTGGCTTGAATTTTACACAAAGGATTTATTGAGGAGTGGGAGAAGTTATTTCAGGAGAGAAAGATGACAGCAGGAAAAAGAGAGAGAAATGTTTCTCTACAAATTAACTGATTCGTGGACTGATTGGATGCTTTTATTGATCAGTTTTATCAGTTTGGGGGGAAAAAAAAATGAACAGTCAGGTTCTGAATTTTAGAAAATAAACAAATTATTGCATTGGTTTTACTTAATTAAAAACAAAAATTAAACCTAAAAATTAAACTGAGTTCTAACAAAATGTATATTTGGTTTTTGGATTTAAATTAAGATTAATTTGAATTCTTAACATAACCCATGTTTCAATAGATTGATGCTAAATAATTTATGCTAAAAACTGTACTTTTGTACCCTAATAATAATAAGTACCATATAAAATAGACTGAGGCAGAATTTGAACTTATAATTGAGAAACAGTCTCCGAATTGAGGGTTAGTAACACTATATTCATCCTTCAAAGAGAATGGGCGTAACTAGACTGAAAGTAGAGCATTTGGTTCAGCGTTTCAAATACTGACGAGGGCTAAATTACATGGTATGGAATTGAATTTAAAAAAAAAAAAAAAAAGTAAAGAAAAATATATACTATTCTCTTTTTCAATAAAAATGAGAAAGTGTACATGAGTAGAATTTTTAAGAAATCCTTTTCTTCAAGTTCTGAGTGGATTTGATAAGCCTCTCTACAGTTGACTGAAGGTTGTCTTTAGTAAGCTTTGTAATGACTGACTCGACAGCCACTGTACAAAGGAATCTCCATTGTGATTTGTGGAGAGGAATCCATCAGAAAAGGATCTGCAGTTCAAAAGGTTACTCTGGAGAGGTGTGTGAAAAAAACCCAAAAAAAAACAAAATGATATGCTTTCTTATGAGAAAAAGAACCTGACAATTGTATTTCAATTTCATTTTTGCTGATACCTGGTGTTCTTGAATCTTAGAACACAAATTATTTCTGTTGAGGAGGTTCCTGTTGTTGTATTTTATAGTTTCTTTCTTTATTGAGAATGTAGAAAAATTTCCAGTGATTGAAAACAAGAACAGAAAATGGCGGAATAAACCAGTTCGCCATTCTGACACCACAGAGGCAATGTTTGAAGAGTGTCACCATAATTACGATTATTTTTTTTTTTTTTTTTGGAGGTACACAGTTTGTTGTGCCTTGTGTGAAAACTGAAAAAGAGAACTTGATTTTTCCACTGATTTGCAAAGATGTGTGTATATATGCGTGTGTGTGTTTGCACATGTGTCTGTGTGCATCCTGTCTTGTCTTCCTTTATTCTTTTTTGGTTAGTTACGGGTCTGCTTCCAGCTGCTGGAGAAGATGGCGTCGACGTTTTTCCAGTTCACCCTCACTCAGGTCACTTTCCGAAGAGTTCCAATCAGCCTTTAAGTAGTAAAAAAATACAATAAATTATTTTTTTTTTTGTTTTTTTTTTTTTAAATATTGAAAAGAACAAAAATAGATACCTTGTAAAAAAAATTCATTGAGAAAATTAACATGGAAGAAAATGATTTTTTAAAAATGTTTAATATAAACAAGCTGGTAAAAACAAAAATAAATAATATCATATAATATTTATATTAATATAAATAAGCTCGTAAATTTAATTAAATATAAACAAGCTGGTAAAACAAGAAAGGACAAAAGAACCTTCTTTCTTTGATTTTAACATAACATTCACCAAATCAAAAAGCCCAAGAGCCACTCAAGGTAGAGTGTTACTGAATGTGGTTGTTGTATGAACATAGGAGGAAGTAAGTGTAGGTTATGAGGATATGTAGGATAGATAAAGGTTGACCCTAGACTTAAAGAGATTAAGATTTTCGTGATTAGGCAAGCATCCTCTTGAGAGCCTGTTACACAAAGTAACAATTCTTGGAAAGAAGCTAAGTGGAAGTTCCTTCTTACAAAAATAAACATCACTGCTACTGAAATGTATGTTAATTGGCATGGTCATAACAGTTTAAAGTATGTAGAGATTTTTTTTTTGTTTTCAAAAGAGATACACAATTCACTCAAAAATGTTTCTTTGCAATCGTACTTATTCTTTTGCCTAAAATCTTACCAATCACACAGTTTTAATATATAAAGGACGAAAGCAATATACAAAACCTGTTAATGAAATACTATACCAATAAATGCTATTTAAAATTCTTACCTTTATCAATATATGCATTTTTATATGTGATCAAGAGAGACATTACAGGAATGAACATTAAAAACACACCATAAGTGAATAGGTGGCTATATGATTGTAGATCTATGTCCCATCAAATCATAGACTCTTGTGAGCAAATTGATTAATAAGTCATTTATGAAAGACAAGTTTCATGGATGTCTTATTGCTCAATTTCGTCACATATAAGAGTCACAGTGGAGTAATGGATAGCAGCTCGGACTGAGAAACCAGAGAGCAGAGTTTGAATTTGAGTCAAGTTCATTACATTCACTTATGTGCTAATACTCTTGGGAAAGGTATGAATCCATCTCTTCTCCCCAGCAGCTATGGGTAAAATAGCAGAACAGACTCTGAATTCAAAACCTGATGTCCTGTTGTATAGAGTGCCCTGGGTATGATGATAAACTACATCCGCATCCTGGGTAAGACAATAAACTACCCCCAGCAGCAAGGCCTATGATCAGGAGGTTTTGAGAAGCATGGAACCACTTCTTAATTGCATGTGTTCCCAGGTCCAACCTGACCTGGAGTGGTAGCACCTGCTAGGGTCCTAGCTATGGACAAATAGTTAACACTCAAACTTGTGTAAAAATAGGTTTTAATACCAGAAATACTTTGTAATAAAAAAAAAATTATTACCAGCAATACTTAAAAAAAAAATACCAGCAATACAAACAGCTATACATTCTTTGAAAAAAATATGACCAGCTAAGATGTTGACTTTCCACAGTACCTTAATCAGACTTGAGAAATTTATTTTCCTGAAGAACTATTTGAAGAAAAGATTTATACATTTCAAAAGATTTAAAAAGAAAAGATTTATAAATTTCAACTGACAGTAACCTTGTTCAGTCAATGAATGCCTAATGATTCCTTTATGGAAATGACTAATTTCACCATTACCAATCACATACAACTTAATGTGTATGAGGAAAATATCTATTTTATTATGATTGGTTGATATTCAATTTTGTTTAAGGCAGAATGCCAAATAGTCACTCATTCCTGTGACCAAATCAGTGTCCAAGAAGGATAAATTGAAATTATTTTTTTTTTTTTAAATCCACACTCAAATAGAAGAACTTGAAAGATTTTTGATGCAATGTTTATGCAATTCAAGGCAAACAAAAGTGCATACTCTCCATGTGCATAAAGTGCAATGTTGGATTAGGTATTGTACGTAGTTTTGATAATCTATCACAAAAAAATGGATTTTTCTAAATAAATATATTTATGCTGTTTTTAGTTTTCTTTGTAAATAATTTTCTTTAACAGGGCTATTGTTATTTTGTTATTATTATTATTCATGATTATATTCAAGAAAGAATAATTCAAACAAAATAAGATTTTAAAATGTTTCATTAATTGGCTCCAAAACCAAAGTTCCTGCCACATTTACAAAATGGCAATTGAGCTGCTCCTGTTGTGGTGTGAAAAGAGTATTATCCTAGAATTATTATTGGTAGTTTAAGACTTTGTTGATAATGATGTCATTTGTGTGGTTCATCTTGCTAGGAATGAACCAAGTTGAGTAATACATTTAGCTACAATTTCTTTTCTTTTTACCAGCTACTTAGTAGAAAAGCGATTTCAATCTGTATTTATGAATTGTAAATGAGAAGACTGTAGAATGAACTGGCCAAAAACATTGTGCTAGCAACAAAAACCTATGCAGAGAATGATTTCAATTGGAATTGCTGACTTTCTATAACAATGAATGATAGCAGGAATAGTCAAAATACAAAGGGGACACAAGGAATTGTTTGGTTTCAGTTGTTTTACACCTTATCAACACATTTTGTCATTTAATACCGAAATTTAATATTTTCTAAATAAAATCTTGTATTTAAACAGCAAAAAAAAAAAAAAAATTATTTCACATAGTAAGATTGCTGTTATGGTTTATATATTTTTTTTAAAAATAAAAACTTTAATATGTAAAATGAATCAGTATTTTGAAAAAAAATTTTTTTAATTTGCTGTTTGGTAGTATTGAATTAAAATTGCTGCAGTTTGTCTGTATGTGTTTTATGGCTCTTGGCTCGCCACACATACCATAGGGTAGAGAAACCCTAATTATGCATATTTAATTCTAAAAACATTATATTTTAATAGATAGACATGTTTGAGTAGACATCCATTTTTTTTTGTTGTTTTTTTAAACAGTAAAATTAACCTTTATCACTCTGTATGTAATTTCATTTTCTGTACAAATATTTTATTCTGCCACTGAAGGTGACTCTGATCCTTGAAGAATAGTGTGTTTGAATTTCATAGTTGTATTGTCATATCCTGCTATGGCAACAGAAAACAACTTTGAATAAAATTAACAATAAGTATACTGCAATTGAGAGACCTTGAAAAAGAATGCAGTGAGAAGTAATATTAATAACGCAGGGTGCTAAAGATTAATGTTTGTTTAAAAAAAAAAAAAAAAGAAAGAAAAAGAAAACTGCTTACTCAAACTCTTTAAAATATAACATTTAGTACAATAACTGATTGATTCATTTTCTACAGCTTATCAACCCTTTGCATATTATTTAAAGCCAGAAAATATTTGAGATAATAATGATTTAGTGATACTTAACCCATATCTGGGAGGAGAAGAGGTAATTTCATACCTTTCTCAAGGGTATTTCCACGTAAGTGAATATAACAAACCCAACAGGAATTGAAACTCTGCTTTCTGATTAACAATTCCAATACAACTACTTGTACATCCAAGCTTACACCACCTTGTATTCCCAAACAGTCACCCATCTAGGTACTGACCAGGCTTGACATAGCTTAACTTGAGTGATTGTATAATCAATGTGCTATGACCATAAGCCTATTTAGTGCAATAAGAAATCAAAATATGCATTAACTTCTTGAAAATTATACACAAGTTTGGTTTGTTTTATTGTTCTAAGAAAGATAATATGTTCCAAGCTGGCAGCAAATACTGAACTGTTTTGATTAAGACAGAAGGAGTTTGAAAGGAGACAGAAAAACAAGGGAAAAAAACAGCAACAAGTCAGAAAGTCACTCTTAAAAAAATTAAAATAAAGTGATATTTATCTACCCCCCCACTCCCCACGATGATTACATGTGGCACAAGGCCGGGTTTAATGTGGGATCTCAGAGCCCGTAGGCCCAGCCAAAAATATTCCCTCTTTGAACCCGCATCAACGGGTTCAGGGGCAGTCAACCACCCCGAACGAGACTCTGCCCTTCGGCGGAGCCTCGTCCGGGTTCCTCTCCGTCTGAAAGCAGAGTTAGACTAATTAAAAATTAAAATAAAGTGCACACATAGAGATATTAATAAGTCTATTACATGGCATAGAAACTATGTATTTCTGGACATTCATAGGAGGAAACTTTAATAATAATAATAATAATAATAATAATTATAAAATTATTTTTTTCTTGGAGAATAGTTTATAAGCAGCCTTTCCCCACTGCACTAAAATAAGGTTAAAAACATAATCTGATGCCTGCAGCAAAAACGGAGAGAAACCATCATTGTATTCATCTTTGAGGGAAAATGATATTAAAACCAAAGTGAATACCAAAATCCCTTCAAGGCAAACTTAATGAGAAAATATCAAAATTGAATAAGAAAACAAATAAAAATGCAAGCATAAAAATAAGTGAAGAACTAAATAAAGAGAAACTAAAATAACTGGCCACAGGTTAAGTACATGTATTTGTCAAGCCAACAAAAATATGTTTACCAAATACAAGGCCCAAGAGCCACTCAAGGTAGAGTCTTTCTAAATGAGATTATCATTGGGATATTTAGGAAAGGAGTAGGAGGTGAATATTATGAAGATATGTAGGATAGATAATGGTCGACTCTTGAAGAGGTTAAGCTTGTCGTAATTGGGGAACCATCTTTTCGGGAGTCTGTTCCATAGTGCAACAGTTCTGGTGAAGAAACTGTCTGAGTGGAACATCCTCCTCTCCAATGGAAAATGAAAGGAATGAGAATGAGTTGACTGTGTATGTGGCCTGGAGGGTCCTAGCTGTGAAGGTCTGAACTGGTGGGACAAAGGATTGTAGTTCACCTGAACATCTGTCATGAAAATAGCAAAAGAGTGGTGAGAGACTTGCAATATTTCACTTGTAGGAAAGGGGTGGCAGGGTAGAAAACAATTCATCCTCCACATTGTTGCAAAAAAAAAAAAAAAAAAAAAAAAAAACAACAACAAACTTCTTGAAC